AGAGCCCCAAAGCACATCTGTAGACAATTAGACATCCCCTCACAGAAAGGTCACAAGGAAGGGATGAGTCAGCCAGAGTGCAGTAACCATGAAACATATAATGTTCACCTAGTTCTTTGATGCTCACAACCCCCAGGCCCCACTATCATGAGCCCAGTTCTACACTACAATCTGGCTAGACTGGAGCATGTACACTGGTACAGATAAGAACTCTCAACATACGGAATCCAGTATAGATGAACCCCTGAGGAACAGTAAGGTGAGTATCGATAACATGAAGGTAGGGGGAAGGTGGAGGAAGAAAGGGGGAACTAATCGCAATCATCAATGTATAACTGCCCCCCACCCAGGGGACGAACAACAGAAATGTGGGTGAAGGGAGACAGTGGATGGTGTAACATATGAAAATAATAATAATGTATAATTTATCAAGGGTTCACGAGGGTAGCAGGATGGGGGATGGAGGAAACAAATGAGGAGCTGATACCAAGGGCTGAAGTAGAAAGAAAATGTTTTGAAAATTATAATGGCAACATATGTACATATGGGCTTGATACAATTGATACTGTATCACAATTGACATAAAAGTTATGAGCTGTAAGAGCCCCCAATAAAATTATTTACTTTAAAAAAGGCCCTGCCTTTCTGTGTTGTAAGTTAACAGGTTGAATGACCAGTATAACCCGGAAAGTTCCAATTTAGAGTCTTTATTAACCGGTACTGGCTGGTGGCTGCGGGAGAACCAAACATCTCTCAAAGCCCAGCAGCCCCTCTTGCTGTTACTGTTGTAAGGGGTCAGCTTTTAAAGGTCAAAACCACAACCTGGGTGACTAAGTGGTAGGTCGGGGATTTTCCACACAGTTCTTCAAGCTCTTCTGTACAGAAGTCAAAACAAGCATTGGTTTACAGGACACTAAGCGGGGCCCATTCCTAGAACAGCCGAGATTGTGAAGGACATTCTGAGCACACAGTACATTCTGAAGGATATCTGACCACACAGTACATTCTGAAAACATAGACAAGGGAATAGTCCAGAGGAGTTTTAAAAAATCTAAAAATGGATTCAACTCCATATCCACCTGCCTGTGGTCTTCCGGCTTCATTGTCCTGCTTCCTGGTTCATTGACCCTTGTAACCATGGCTCAGGAGAGGCCTCCCACTGACCATGGACTTGAACGGGGATTGCCCATTCAACACCCAGGGGCCTATTTCTTGACATCTATCTCTCCTGTGTGCATCCTCATACAAGGGCCACTGGTTTGATTTCTCTGCAGAGCCCAGCCCAATACAAGGGAATTGTCTACCCCTGAATGGAGCATCAATTTGGTGTCCAAAAGTGAAAAATGCCAGGGAAAATCTAGCCTGTGTAAGATTTTCAAATTTCAATTGTGCCCACTGGCCTTGACCATGGAGGGTGGCGAGCAGAAAATGGATGGCTGTGTCTCAGAGGGCGTCTGGAGCTGCTCCAGGTGGAAGGGGACTATTCACAAAAGAATGGAAAACATCCAGAAGGATCTACTTTGGGCGGGAGGGTTCAGGACAGGCAACAAGATGGAAGACAAGATGGGGCGAGGGGTGATTAAAAAGGCCTCCAGAATAAATCCACAGATAAAAGGGGAAGGTTTAGAATGCAGAAAACCAAGGCCATGGAAGGAACAGGGAGATCGCCGATGTGATGGGAAAAAGAGATGGCAAAGAAAAGAGAAAGCAGGTAGCAGAAGGCTCCCACTATGAAGGATGGGGAGAAAGACAGGTCAGGGAGACTTAACTCAGGGTTACGTCTGTAAAGAGGGAAAGATTCAGAAGAGCTGTGAGCTCAAGCCTTATTCAAGCATAAGGGTGAGGATTTCAACCTCATTGAAGCTATTAAAGGAACTGGGCTATCCAGAAGGGCAGTGAAAAAGAGGATAGCCCCCGGATCATGTGTCTACCCAGGGTGATCGGTCCTGGGCTTTGACCACCTCAAATCCTGTGGTAGATCAAGACCTTCACTTTCATTCACCAATAATTATTTTCCCGTTTCAAAGCCATATAAAATAAGTAGTCAAAGTTGTCAAAAACAAAGGGAAGGGGGGATATAAAGGAAGGAAATGGACCTTCAACAAAACTGTAGGTCTTTCTCCACTAGAAGCCACCCTGGTGAGAGTCGAGCTGCTGGAGAGGGCTTGACACTCGGGTCTCAGTGGGCCTCTATCACTCACAAGGGAAGAGAGGTTTCCCTTGGCATGAGGTGCCTCAGAGGGAAGTGCCAACAATCCTCATGGAGTCGCCAGCTTCTGTGTGGGGAGACAAGTGTAGACAAAAGGCTAGACAGTAAAAAAAAATCTAAAAATGGCGGTCCTTATGTCAAGTCAGCTTCAACATATGGGTCATGGAATGATGTACATTAAGTACATAATCTCACAAAGAATGCGGACTATATGTATTAATGTATGTATTATATATTAAAATTACAGCATGTTAAAAGCATAGAAGGAGAAGCTGTTCAATTTTAACTCCTGGTAGCCCCCGTGTGTCAGAGTAGAACTGTGATCCAATAGTGTTTCCCTGGATGTTTTTTTCTCAGAAGTAGATTATCAGCACTTTTTTCCAAAGCACCTCTGGGGGGGTGGGGGGGTCTCAAACTGTCAGCCTTTCAGTTAGCAGCCAAGCATGTGAACGGTTTCCACCATCCATGGACTTCTTATCAGCCATTGCAGCCCTTTAACCCAACTCAAACCAAGTCCTTCTCCTGCCTCTCATTTTCCTAAGGAAAATTAGTTCTGTTTTTTCTACAGAACTTTATGACATGGAACCAATTTCTACTACAGCACAATAACATTTCGTCATAATGTCTATGTTTCTTCTGGATCCACCAATCACAGTGAGAACTCCTGTGATTCCAGAACCCAGTAGTATTGCTGTTGGAAGGGGCCGTCCAGTTGGTTCTGAGCCATGATACTCTGAACCACAGAATGAAATATCTCCCAGTCCTGCACCATCCTCACAATAGTTCTTATGTTAAGCCCATTGTTACAGCCATGCATTAATCCACCTTGTCAACGGCCTTCCTCTTTTTCACTGCCCTTCTGGATAGCCCAATAGATACTCAAAATACGGAAGAAACTAATGACAAAAAAGAGGAAAGTAGAGCATATGAACAGAAGAAGGAAGAAATGCCCTTCTTGTTTGGTTTATGCCTACACATAGCAGTGAATCTTTCTTATAATAACAATTGTCCTCCAGTGCCACGGTCTCCAAATATCACCACTTCAAACTACTAACTTTTAAATGACAAGGTTAACGTGATACTAGTAATGATGATGGAATAAAGTAAGAGGAATAGTGATTATGATGGTCATGGTAATTTTGTGAAAATGTGTTTCATTTCTTTAATAAAAATGCATTGAGTCTTTAGTGTTGATTTACACAAATTTATTCAATAATTTGCACAATTCTTGAAACATGTAATATGTTAATGAATGAGAATGTAACAAGCAGTGATGACACAACCAATTAAAATAATGAGATTTATTTATTCAGCATTTATTGAAATTAAGTCATGAAACCTGAAAATACAATAGAACACACAATCTGGTGGGGTGAGGACAAAGATTGGTCAACCAATCAAATATACACATAATTATAAGTAATTAAAGAAATACCATGTAAAATGTGCTCTGAGAAAAAATAATTGACCTGAATAATCTTCTTGAAGAAAGTGAAACTGGTTCTGAATTCAAAATAAGCAGAAATGATGGTGATAAAGATAGGAAGATACATCCCCTTTAAAAAGAGGTCAGACACAAGTCCAAGTCTGGAGGGAGCATGGCACACTTGAGGAAAGTTTAAAAGATCATTAATGTATATTTAGAATCAATAAATAACAAACTTTACATGTTTGTGTGTGGAGAGTGGCTGTGGATGGAGTCCTGGTGGCATACTGGTTACATGTGGGCCTGCTAACCACAATGGCAACAGTTCAAAACAACCACCTGCTTCATGGGAGAGAGACAAGGCTTTCTACTCCTGTAAATGGTCATCATCTAAGAAACTTATAAAAGCAGGTCTACCCTATCCAATAGGGTCACTCTGAGTCAGCATCAAATCAGTGGCAGTGTGTGCATGTATTTTGTGTACATATACATATCATCAAAGATATACAAATATTTAAGAACATTCAAGAAAATCATTAAAGCAAGGCCAATGGAGGAACCTGGAATGACGATGGGAAAGAGTCAGGAGTGGAGATAAGATAAACAAAACAATTCCTGATGGTAAGAATCATAGGAATATGATTAACTCAAGCTGTTATCTCTAAGAAGAAAAATACAAGAATAAGAGAAGAATTACCATTATTTTCAGAGACTAACATAAATGTCTCTTGAGAGTTGCAAAGGGTCTTCTATCTTAAAAATTGTCTGAAAAAGAAAATCTGATCTCCATTTCTGCAGTAAGATAATACATGCATATTTTTAAGCTTCTCCTATAAACATTTCATTCTAAATAATGTCCATATTTTGCCCTCCTATGGCTCTAAAATCAAAGATTATCTGAGAGATAAAGTCTTAAGTAGGACCTACCCAGTCCTACAAACTAACCAGGTATGTCTGGGGGTGAAAGTTACCTGGGTCAGTCATATGCATTCAATAGACATCCAATTCATTTTCCTCTTCTCTGAACTCCTAAAACAGTTTAGATCAAGTCAGTCAAAATCCTAATTGTTTCCCAAATACCTGGCATACTTATTTATCAATGCAAATAAACTATAAACTTAAAAAGGAAAGAATAGCAAAAAATTACTTGTTAACTAATCAAATGACAGCCTTTCTCGGTTTTTTTAGTCCAATATCTAAATAAACAAGGTTTCAGAAAAGATTTGATAATGTCCACAGTCTGAGGATAACTGCATTTACCCTCATTTAACCGCCCACACCAGGTAAATGGTCTGGACTGTAGAGCTCTCAGCCTACAGAGAAGGGTCACCCTTGCCCCTGAAGTTCAGCTCCTAGGAACCACACTCACGTAGGATCAATCCGACTGGGACTCAGAATGGACAACAACCTCTCCTTTATCTGCTTGGTCTTGACTCCGTAGACAATGGGGTCCAGCGCAGGAGGAAAGAGCAAGTAGAGATTGGCAAGGATGACTTTGGCAGCAGAAGCTGTGGGTGGCCCAAACCGCTGCATGACCACAGAAAGAAAGCCTGGTCCATAGAAGAAGAGGATGACACAAACGTGGGCTGTACACGTGCTACCCGCTTTAGCACGTGCCTCTGGTGAAGGAAAACGCGTCACTGTCTTCACAATCTGTCCATAGGAGAAAGCAATAAAGGCCACATCCCCCACACCAAGAAAGATTGCCACAGCAAAGGCATAGAGGTTGTCCACGGTGGTGGCACCACAGGCCAGTTTCACCACGGCCATATGCTCGCAGTAGGTATAGGCAATTGTGTGTGAGCCACAATAAGGTAGCCTATGGGCCAGGCTTGGGAAGGAGATGGTCAGCCCCACACCTCGAAGGGCTACCAGGCCTCCAATCTTGGCCACAACAGCTGGAGTTAGAATGCTTGAATAGCGCAGAGGGTTGCAAATGGCCACAAAGCGGTCCAGGGCCATGGCCACCAGCACCCCTGACTCCATGGCAGAGAATGCGTGAATGAAGAACATCTGGGAAAGACAGGAGTGGGAGTTGATGGCTGTAGCACCAAACCAGAAAATGGCCAACATCTTGGGCAAAGTAGAGAGAGAGAGGACCAGGTCGACAAAGGCAAGCATGGCCAGAAACAAAAACATGGGCTGGTGAAGACTGCGCTCCGTCCGAATGAGGAAAAGCAGGACACTGTTCCCTGTCACTGCGAGGACAAACATGAAGCCAAACGGCAGTGAGATCCAAACGTGGGATGCGGTCAGCCCTGGAATGCCAGCCAAAAAGAAAGTATGTGGGAAGAGATGAGAATTATTGGAAAGAACTATGGTCATCTTCTCACTTACAAGGCCAACAAACTGCTGCAAAGAAAGAAAGGCAGTTTCCAGTCAGCAATATAAGGATTGGCAACTTACCCCCGACAGTACACCACAGGTCTCAGAAACCCGCTGAAAATAATGTTCATTTTAGTATTCCTGCAAGCTCTTTGGAAGCAGAAGGGGCAACTCAGCTTGGTCTACGGTAAAATACATTCAACAACAAATTAAGAATTCATTCCCAGGATTTAATATCCTATTATACTTGGGACTCTGGGAAATTCACAAAGCCAGATTTAAATAGATACCTTCTGACTGTCATTGAGTTGACTCTGATTCATAACAGCCCTATAGGACACAGCAAAAGAACCCATGAGGATTTCCGAGACTATAAATATTTATGGGACATGAAAAGCCTCGCTTTTCTCCAGTGAAGAAGCTAGTGGTATCAAACTGCTGACCTTGAGGTTAGAAACCCACCGTAAACCCACTATGCCATCTGAGCTCCTGAAATAGATACCCAAGAACTGACATTAAATAAAAATCCATTGCACTGGGCTCACATTCCTAAAGGCTGGAACTTCATTAAGGAGCAGTGCTTAAAAGTTCGGCCACTAACCAAAAAAGGTCAGCAGTTCTGAATTCTCCAGTGCCTCAGTGGGAGAACGATGCAGTATCCTGCTTTCCTAAAGAGTTTACCTTGGAAACCCTGTGGGGACAGTCTACAGTATTCTATACGGTTGTTATGAGCAGGATTTGATTCCTTACCAACAGATCTGGGTTGGGGTTTTGTTTGTTTGTTTGTTTGTTTTATGCTAGATTCCATCAACAATGACCTCAATTGGTGCCCTACTCTGATCTCATGAACTTTCATCTGAAAATTCCAGCACCTAGGAAATCCCCTAATAGGGAGATACGCTACTCCTCCAAACTTAGCCTGATTGCCAAGGTTACAGAATAAGTGGTCCCCAGTGATGTCAAAGCTGATGGAGCTCTTTGTTGGATGACTCCCCATCTGTTTCACAGATGCATATCTTGTTTCTCCACCCCCTTTCTCAATGGCTGCCTCACCTCACCATCAGCATGAGTGCCCTCTCCTTTGGTGTGCTCTGGTAGAAGGTCAGACAGACAAAATTTAGAGTTGTGAGGACCTGGAAAAAAATAGAAGCTCGTGGTATTTAAAATATCCTGCTGTGAGGGCCTATATCTTCCATATATCAGGTATGTAACCTTCTGCAAAATAGCTCAAGGCTATTTCCTTACATTAAAAATCATAAGAGTATGTGAGACTCAAATGAGATAAAATAGGTGAACATTATTTATCAAATGCTCAAAAGAGTAGAGGTAGTAATGCAGTCACTGAATTCTCAGAAGTAAGCACTACATGAGGAGCCTTGTTTAAGAACACAGACATTTCAGTGACTGAGAGGCAATGAATGTCACTTTGCAAAAGATGGCCCAATATGTTCATCCCATAGTTGAATGATATATCACAGTAACCCATAACAACCAAGCTGAAAATATGGTTTCCTTCTCTGATATTGGTCTTTTCTTCCTTTGCAGCAACACATTGTTCTCTTTAGTAACCTCGGGGTACAGTTTCAGAATGTCAGAAAATGTAGCTCTAATCACCTGAGCTCTTGCTTCAAAGCAGCCCAACCTTAAGGCCAATCCCACCATGCCATGTAGGTCATGATGGTGCCCTAAGAACAGTGTAAGTAGTAGTTACACTTGAAGTCCCAACTATCCTCTCTGGACTCATCAAATAGCTCTACTTACATATTTTTGCCTCAAAAAATAAAAATCTTACACAGTAAGATCAGCTCCTCTGCCTCTATGAAGGAAGTAAATAAAGGGAAACAAGAGGATCCAAAAGCCAAAGAAATCTAGTACAAAAGGGTCACAAGCCTTGATAAATGCTTCATCTTCTCAACTTCAAAGAGGAACAGACTTTCAAATAGTCTGAAATGTGTTTGATGGAAGAAATTCCTTTTAAAAAAATTTATTTTGTTGGGGGCTCTTACAGCTCTTGTAACATTCCACATATCAATTGTGGCAAGCATATTTGTACATATGTTGCCATCATAATTTCCAAAACATTTTCCACTTGAGCCCTTGGTATAAGCTCCTCTTCATTCCCTTCCCTCCCCCACACTCTCACCCACATGAATCCTTGATCAATTATAAATTTTTATTATTTTTTTATCTTATACTGTCTGTTGTCTCCCTCCACCCACATTTCTGTTATTCACCACCTTTGGGGGTTAGCTACATTTCCAATCTTGTGATGGGTTACCCGTTTCTCCCCCTTTCCCTTACCCGACCATCACCCTACCCTCAAGAAATTATTAATCACTGGATCCCATACACACCCATGTCCACAAAACAACACAAGTCCAGATAGACTATACACAGTATTACACACAATTTTCCCTGCTTTTATTGAAAGCACGCAATCCAACCCAGAGAGGCTATCAGATTGTCCAGATCTGAGAATACTAGGGGTAAGTTAGCATAAATAGAACCCATACATACCCCTTCTTTGGGAATACCCTTAGCAAACACTCACCAAAGGCCTATACTGATTGACCTACAAAGAAGATTTTAAGATACCAACCAGGTCCAAGAATGGAGTATTTAATAGGCATCTTTTCAGGCATTGCCTGTAGGGACCCAAGATGAAGCTCCCACTATCTAGGCACCAATTAGTACTTCTCCTTTCTCTTCAAACAAAGTTCTAACAAGGTCTCTTCCTCTTATTAGGACCCCAGAGAACATCCCCAATAGGGAATATTTTAAACAGCATACTCTAGGTTGCCTTGTCAAGAGGAGAGTCAAGACCCTGCAGTCAGGAGCAAGGAGAGGTTTACTGGCATGGGGAACCACCTGGCATGATGGCCCAGGAACATTTACTCTAGGTAGGGTGAAGAAGGCAAGTAGATTGGAAGAGGGAGCCCCTGGGCCAGAATAGAACATTAGCACAGAAGACAGCAAGTGAGATAGGTGGAACCATAAGAAGAAGAGTAGAGTTCTATTAAAATGTAGAACAAGGCTGAAGAAAATGGCAAATATCTCCAAATCCTATATTTGAAATAGTAGGTACACTTCTAGACCATGATTAGAGCCATGGGCTGCAAGTATTGCCATACACATGTGATCTGATGTTGGCAAAATTGACTCACCAATTCAAACCTTTCTTATGTTCCAACATTTCATCCTTTCAGTAACCAAAATCACTTTTGACAATAGTGCCCAGCTAACCCGTGGGAGAATATCCAAGACTATGAAGAATGTGGGCATTAAATTGGGTTAAAAGGCATGGGGAAAATTGAGTGTGCTACACGTTAGAGGAGAAAACTTTAAATGTTATGCATGATTCTTCATAGATTCTTCAAATTCAGGAAGAAATTCCCTTTAGAGAGAAATCATTTGTTTTATGGAACTCAAGAAAAAACAATGGCACATAAAATTTATTTTTAATAACCCAAGTCGAGGCTTGTGTTTTCAGAACAATAATTTCTGGGCAGTAAAAGAGAAAATAGCACAGGATACATTTGAAGGCAATAGGACAGGGTAGATTGGAGTAATCAGTTCCCAGATCCAGATCTGCCATTGAGGGACAGCAAATGCTAAGGATACTGATTCAGTTCAATACAACTTCTAGGAAGAGAAAACACATCAGGTTGATTTCAGGTACAGCCTAGACCATACATTCCCAAATTCATTGCACCTATCACCTCCTTTTCAGGAAAAAAATTAATCCCTGCTCCCTGGAAATTAAAAACATTTTTCCTGTAGCTTATAATCCAGGATAAAATGTCAGCTATCTGCTTTTATAGCCCCCTGGATTACTCTGAAGCCCTGGGGACATAGTGGCTAACAATTTGGCTGCTAACCAAAAAAGGTCAATAGTTCGAAACCATCAACTGCTCCTGGGAGGAAAGATTAGGCTTTCTACTACTGTAAAGAATTATAGCCTGGGACACCCACGGAGGCAGTGCTACTCTGTCCTACAGGGTCACCATGAATCAGCATCAACTTTATGGCAGTGAGTTTGCTTTGCTCAATTTTTTCAGTGACCCAAAGGGTGGTATTGCCCAATTTGGAAACACTGGCCTAGATTATGAGCCCTAATAGGAACTCAGTTTTCTGACAAGGATTCCAAGACTAGTGAGAGGGAGCTATAATACTTCTGAGGTAGGACCCAAACATCATGAGATGGTAAAACAGAAGCCCAGAAATCCAAAGAAGAAGTAAGGAATCGGTAAGACAAGTTGTAAGAGCAATTCACAGGTGAGTCCAAAAGAAACAGAAGAGGTAGACAAGGAAATACACCAGAAATTTAGGCCCAGATTTTTTTTTAATCTTAGAACTGTGCTGCAAAATTTGTGTGAATATAGATCACAGTAATGAAACTTTTAACTAAAATTATAAATTACATAAAACCATCTAGATTTTTAAAGATTATAAAGCAGAAAATGCACATGAAACTTAGACAAAGCACCATCAAAGACAAAGCAGAGATCCAGGCAAATATTCTGAAGAAATGGAAATGCCTGGGAGAGGCTAACTAATTATGCCAGTGGGATCAGGAAAAGCTTCACACATGAGACAGCATTAGAGAGAAAAAGTTGAAAAATAGTAGAATATTCCAGGTGGGCTTATTAACATAGAAAACACAGATTCATACAAGTAGGATATTCATGATTAAAAATTAAAAGGTCAATGTTGAACAAAAAAAAGTGGGGGGTGTCAATGGCTGAGGGAGCAGCAGAGAGGGATGATGTTCAAAAGAAAAGTTGCATCCAGACATGAAAGACATTAAGATCCCTACTGAAGGCGAAAGAGGCAACAAAAGGGGGTGGGGGGGGATAGCATTTCAGTAGAGATGAAGCTTTGACATACTCATGCTTTAATAATTTATTTTCACATGGTTTGGGTATAGAAAAGAGGAAGTGATATGTGAGCACATAAAAAAAAAGAGCATTAACAATGAAGGGGAAAGGATGAAATTGATC